ATGGAATATTTGCTTCTTGCATGGTGTGGGGTGTGGGGTATACATGAATGTGTATGTGTGGTTTATTGTTGTCAGGCCACCTATTGTAGAAAAAAATCAAGGAGTTCTAAAAAAATTTTTTTCCAGTATTTCTGCATTCCTTTACACAATTTAATCATCTACTTCTTGAAGAAGAAAGGAGAGAATTACAGGAACAGACTTGGCCTGAATTGTTTCAATAATAGAGTTAAATGTTTTTATTAAGCCTTTTCTTTCTGAGGAATACAAACAGCTTAGGTTGAAGAGGTCCCCAGATGGTGGAGTAGGAAGACCCTGGGCTCACCTGCTCTCAAGGGCATCCCAAAATGACAACTATTTACAGAGAAACCACTGATGTGAAAGACCAGAACCTACCAGAAAAAATCTTCTACAATTATAGATATAAAGGAGGAACCGCAAAGAGGCAGGTAGGAGAGGTGACAGTTGCCATCTAGTTGAGAGCCACAGCAGTGGGTGGGCAAACCACAAATGGGAGGAGAGCTGTAACTGCAGAGATGGTCCCCTAGGAGTGAGGAATCAGCCCCACACTGTCCAAGATCCAGCACCAGGAAGATGAACCTACAGAATGTCTGGGTTTAAAGGCCAGCAGAGATCACTTTTGGGGGAAGCCAGAGGGCTAAGGAACATAGAGACTCCACTCTTAAAGGTCACACGCAAAATCTCACGTGCTCTGGGACCCAAGGCAGAAGCAATAATTTGAAAGGAGCCTGCATCAGACCTACCTGATGATTTTGCAGTGTTCCAGACAGACAGGAGGCACCGAGGCGCTGGTGGCAGTCATTTTGAGGAGCAAGTTCTGCCATGTGGACACTGGCCCTGGCGGGAACTATTCTGAAATCCTCCCTCTAGCTTACTAGTTCCAAGACCCAGCTCTGCCCGCCAGCCTGTAGGCATTAGTACTAGAACATTTCAGGCCAAGCAACTAGCAGGAGGAGACACAGCCCCACCACCAGGAGGCTAGCTGCCTCAAGACCCACTGAGTCATAGCCAATCCAGGACACGGCTTTGTACATCCACCAGGGGACCCAGGACTTGGCTCCACACACCAGGATGCAAACATCATTTCCGGAACACCAAGGGTCCTGGAGCCAGAGGCAGCGGGATTCCGCTCTGCCCACACCAGCCCCAGAATCTGCTTCCCTGCCACGCCCCCTCCTCCCCAACCCTCAATATCCGCCCCTCACCCCAAGTCTGGCTCCATTCACCAGTAGGGAAACACAACTTCAGGACATCCTCGACCCCCAGCAGCTCTATCAGGAGCTGGCCTCAACCAGCAGTGACCCAACACCAGTTCTGGGACCCCTGGATTCTGTAGCCAGAGACCCCAGGACTAGGCCCTGCCCACCAACAGGCCCCTCAGACAGTGGTCCAGGGGCGAGCCCCACCACCAGTCTTGGGACTCCCAGGGCCCTGCAGTCGGAGCCCTGGGGACCCGGCTCCACTCACCAGTGAGCCAGCACTACAGCCAGCCTCGTCATTCCCCGGCGCCACCAGCCAGCAGCCAGCAGCCTCCACACAAGGGGCAACCAACTGGACAGGGGGGCCCGTCACGTCCAGCAGCGTGCCCAGAGAAGTCAGTCAGCACACGACACCAGAAGCGCCCACACAGCCCACATAGGGAGAGCCCCGCGAGCACAGAGCAGCGCTGACCAGAGCTGCTGCCGCTGACTCGCTCAGTCTGTCCGACTCTGCGACCCCGCAGACGGCAGCCCACCAGGCTCCCCCGTCCCTGGGAGTCTCCAGGCAAGAGCACTGGAGTGGGCTGCCATCGCCTTCTCTCTAGAACACTACAAAAGGCCAATTCTCCAACACTGGGAAAAGTAACCAGTTCACCAAATACACAGGATGAAATTTCGCATTTTCAACAACATAGATGGACCTAGAGCCTATGATGCTTAAAGAAATCAGTCAAAGACAAATACTTTATGTTATCACATATATGTGGAAGCTAAAAAATTAAAAAAATTAAAAAATGAATCAATATGACAAAACAGAAACAGATTTACAGATATTTAGAATAAACTAGTGCTGGAAAATCCCATGGATGGAGAAGCCTGGTAGGCTCAGTCCATGGGGTCGCTCAGAGTCGGACAGACTGAGGGACTTCACTTTCACTTTTCACTTTCCTGCACTGGAGAAGGAAATGGCAACCCACTCCAGTGTTCTTGCCTGGAGAATCCCAGGGACGGGGGAGCCTGGTGGGCTGCCGTCTGCGGGGTCGCACAGAGTCGGACACGACTGAAGTGACGCAGCAGCAGCAGCAGCAGCAGAATAAACTAGTAGTTTCCAGTGGGGCTAGCAAAGAAGGGGGTGGATAACACAGGGATAGAGGATTCAGAGATACAAATCACTATGTATAAAATAAATTATCTACAAGGATATATTGTACAGCACAGGGAATATAGGTATTATTTTATAATAATGTCAAATGGAGTATAATCTATGAAAATTTTGAAACACTATGTTGCATATCTGGAACTACTATAATGCTATAAACCAGCTCTATCTCAATTTTAAAAACCTAAGAAGAAAAAGTAAATTTAAAAGTATGTTAAATAAAAATTATGACACCTATGAGTGAGAAAAAAGAAGGAAGGAAGGAAAGAAAGAAGGATAAAGAAAGCAATGGAGGAAGAGAGGGAGGAAAGGAGAGTGAGAAAGAAAGAAGGAAAAGCTTAAAGAGCAAAATAATCAATTTTTCATCTTTCTGCTCCCTAACCAGCATAACCACAAAATAATATATAAAGTGAAACCATGAAATAAAAACATTTTCCATAAAAATAATGAAAAAACCCTTTGTATCAAATCATTCTAGATCATATAACATAAAGAAAATAGATACTTAACACCTATGTTTAATATAGATAACAGGCAAAAAATAAAACAAAACACAGTTTGCATATTTTTCAGTCCAAACAATCTCTATTTATACCATTTATGCCATTATTTTATCCTTTGTACTGCAATAAGGATAGAGTTTCTTGCCCCTATCTCGAAAGAAATTTTGCTGCACCCTTACTATTCTAAGCTTCATGCTCTGCTAAGTATGGCCATATGTGTTTCTCCTTCAGGAACAGAACGCTTTAGGGCTCAGATTCTCCAGAGGCAGTGAGGTGACTTGGGCAAGATGAATAAATATCCCTTCTTCATTGGGGTACTGAAAGTCAGGGCATTACCACTGTCAGAAACCAGAAAACAAGGCAGGAGCTATTCCCAGGAACAATGATTTAAAGGAAGGATGGGAAAGGGTCATTAAAATAAGAGTCTTTCCAAACCATACCCAGACTTTCCAATCATACCCAGATACATATCTCCGCTTTTAGAAGCCAGTCCGAAACACTTGCCCTCTTTCTCTTGTTTATGTTTTATTTTTTTTAATTTTTGGTCACGCTGCACAGCATATGGGATCTTAGTTCCCAACCAGGGAATTTCCCCTTGAAGTGGAAGCTCAGAGTCTCAACCACGGTACCACCAGTAATCCCTGATATCTTTCTTTTTTGCTGCTTCATTCTTGCCCAACTGACAGTCTCCACTCTCATCAGTCATCTCCTCTATCTCCTGGCCTACTCCAGCCTTTGGTTTCTATGTCAATATGACTTTGCATTCTAGAATTTAGTGCCTATCCTGTACTAAGGATACATCAGTAAGGAAAATAGATCTCAGTCCTTGAGGAGCTTAAATTCTAGTGGGAGGAAAAAGACCAACAACAAAAATTAGTTAAAAACTAAAATATAGAGAACTAGTTGACCATACAACAATGCTGCTCATCAAATTTTCGACCTGCAAAAATGCCCATTTCATGAGTCAAACTTTATATTAAATGGTGATAATACTATTTTTAAAATTAAGCAGGGAAGAATAGGTAGTAGGGTGGATGGGGGGTAAGCACATAGATGGTAACTTAAAACAGGGCAATCAGTCTCCAAGTGGTAAAATTATATGAGATGGTTTTTCTGCTCTTTCATTATTCTTCTAAGGAGCATGCATTCCTTCATAATGAGTTTTTTTAAAAAACTTTATGACATCAAAATTGCTGAAAAACTGAAATGAGTCATTGTTATTTTAGCCACTAAATTGTGTCCTACTCTTTTGTGACTCCATGCGCTGTAGCCTGCCAGGCTTCTCTGTCCATGGGATTTTCCAGGAGAGAATACTGGAGTGGGTTGCCATTTCCTTCTGTAGGGAATCTTCCTAATCCAGGGCTCAAAGCTACATCTCCTGCATTGGCAGGCAGATTCTTAGCCACCAGGGAAGCCCAAAATGCATCATACAACCATAAATTTTATGGTATTTACATCAAGGAGGAATATAAGACAGATCATATTAACACAATCTTATTCATACCCTATGAAATTGGAAAGTCACACCCTATGAAATTGAAATTCATGCCCTAAAAAACATAGTATAGTATAAAATATCTAACATATATGTTATAAGCCATGAATTTTAAAAATAAGAAATAAACTATTTTAATTTTAAAAATAAGAAATAAACTATTTTAATCAGTATTGTAGAAATACAATTTTGTTACACTTTTTAATATACATGATCAAAGAACAAAACAATGCAAAATATTAAAGTATTTCCCTCAATTTTACATTCTTGAAACTGTTATACTTGTTTAACTTCAAGTAAATATCCATTTTCTGTTATTTACCAGACGTTATAACTTACAGTCAATAGGTACCATAGTTTTAAATGTAGTATTTAACTGTTATTGGAGAATGAACTAGCAACCCTCTCCAGTATTCTTGCCTGAGAAATCCCATGGACAGAGGAGCCTGGTGGGCTATGGTCCATGGGGTCACAAAGAGTCAGACTTGACTTAGTGACTAAACAACTATAAACTGTGACAGGAAGATGAAGTAAAATGTAGGAAGCAAACAAAACTTTACAGAAGGATAAGAAAGTAGATTCAATGTGTATATAAAAACAGTGAGTGCAGCTCAGGAAAGACTTACTGATTTAGCAGGACATCAAGAATAAAAGATGTTCCAAAGGCATCCAGCTGGAAGCTTGCCTGGTCAACGTGAGTCAACTGCAACATCAAAAAGATAAGAGGAATTTATTATGCAGCCATGGAGATCTGATGATAAGCATATCTCATGATCATCTGAAAGTTTTATAATATAAATTAGAAAACCAATTCAATATGGAAGTGAAATAAAAACAAAGTAAAACTTTACCTTCTTTGAAGCCATTCACTAATCTAAAGTACCACTTAACCAAGGAAAGCAAGTACCCTCCCTTCCTGCTTTATCTCAAGTGACTAAATATTTCATTTCCAAGAAGACTGAACTACATTTCATTCTGGTTTAAATGATTGACTCCTTTAAAATTAAGCTTTGAATATTAAAAAAGAAATAGGGAAAATAAGTTAATGCCAGACTAGATTAGTATGAAGAATGTGATCTATTATAAGGAAGATATCTAAACTTCTAAAAAACCTTTTTCATCCTATCTCAAATACATACTTTAAAAGTAATAGTTCCATTCTAATTTACCAAATGGGATTTCATCAAGGTTTCTGCAATTCCTAAGAGAAAAACTGAACCCTCGCCCATCTACTGCAAATATCACCCATTAAAATTTTACTGGGAAAACCCATCACTATTTCCTATGCCATTTTAGGGACTCCCAGAGAAAATCACAAGGGATTCTAAAAAACATACAGTGTTACCAATAATATTAACATATTGAATAACCACATGCATTAACTGAAAAGAGTAAGCAACTCTTTATTCCAACTCCTCATATAACAGAACTATACCTAAGCAGTAGAACTGAAAACTATTTGATTTTTTTGGTTTATATTTGTCTATAGCATCCAAAATTTCTACAATAAGCATGCATAATTCCTGCAGTAAGCATGTATAATTCCTTCAGTAAAAAAAGCAAACACTATTTTAGAGATGTAAACCATCTGAGCAATTGTATTTATGTAGCATGTGAGGGAGATGGTGGTGCTGCTCCCCAAGAACCAGAGCGTCTCAGCAAGGGTCATCCTAGGATTCTGTGGGACGCAAAGGGCACCTCAGTCATACCTGGGATTTCCACTCTCATCAAACTATGGTATGAGGAGAAAGGAGAGAGCTTAATAATCATAAAGCTTTCTGGAATCAAAGGATAGCCATTCAGTTTTAAAGTCTTTGAAATAAATGGACGTGGGAGAATGCTAACACATTCTAATCCTCATAAAATCCCAAGGGAAAAGAACTCTCTGGATAGTTCTTAGCCTCATTAAACATTCAACCCCCTAACTACTCACTGTTCCCAATTAACACCCTGGTTATTACCAAATTCTGACTTCTCTTCTATGATAGTTCTTGGAGCCACACCTTACTCTTCATTTCCATGTATGCCACAGCTCATATCCTCCCTTGATCTTTCTAAAACTGACACTACCATGTGAAAATAGATCGCTAGTAGGAAGCTGCTGCATAACACAGGGAGCTCAGCTCAGTGATCTGTGATGATCTAGTGAGGGGGGACGTGGGGTGAGGTGGGAGGGAGGGTCAGGAGGGAGGGGGTATGTGTATGAGTGCTCAGTTGCTCCGTTGTGTCCGACTCTTTGCAACCCCATGGACTGCAAGCCCTCCTGGCTCCTCTGTCCAATGGGTTTTCCAGGCAAGAATACTGGAGTGAGTTGCCATTTCCTACTCCAGGGGATCTTCCCAAACCAGGAATCAAACCCATGTATCTTGCGTCCCTTGCACTGGCAGGCAGATTCTTTACCACTAGAGTCATCTGGGAAGCCTGAATAAATATATATATATACATATAGCTGATTGACATTGTTGTATTGCAGAAACTAACATAACACTGCAAAACAATTATGCTCCAATTTAAAAAAAAAAAAACTGACTCCTTACCAAAATAAAATCCTAACTGTAAGTCCTATATTTTCTACTACATCAAATACAAGCTTTCTCTCTCTGCATATCAAGAGCCTCCACAATCATCATCCCCACCTCAGACATAACATCAAACAAGTCCCAAGGGACCCAGTCATATCCCATTCACACTCAGTTCTCTCTTCTACTCTAATTCCACAAGTTTTATGCATTCTAACCTTTCATGTAGCTTTTCATCACTTGTGCTTTTAAAAACCAGACACTGAGGTGGCGATCTTTACCAAGGTCCTTTCCCAGAAATGGCTCTTACCCACCTTTCAAGACTTCCCTGGTGGGGCTTCCTTGGTGGCTCAATTGGTAAAGAATCTGACTGCAATGCAGGAGACCCAGGTTCAGTCTCTGGGTCAGGAAGATCCCCTGGAGGAGGAAATGACAACCTACTCCAGTATTCTTGCCTAGAGAATTCCACGGATGCAGGAGCTTGGCAGACTACAGTCCACAGGGTTGCAAAGAGCTGGGCATGACTGAATGACTAGCATGTCAGTACTTACAATTTGTATTAATTCTGTTTAATTTTCTTATATTTTCTTTTTCCTGCAGCTTCAGTTTACAGCTGGTACTTTTATTTTATTGACCTCACTCAAGTCCCAAGGAGAAACCCGTGACTTGAATTCAAAAAAGAAATCTATTGACAGCATGGTTAACTGCTGTTTAGTGAAAAATGTTTGTATTATTGATAGTAAAAGGAACAGGATTATATTAATAGTGTTTTAGTGTAAGACAGGCTTCTTTAGACATTATGCAAATTGTTTCATTCAACAAATATCTTCTGAGAGTCTACCAAGTGCTGGAATGCTTTTGATTTGGGGGACAAAGTGGTGAAGAAGGCTGCCAGTGTTTCCCCTCTAGTGGGGCTGATCCTCTAGTGGAGGGAGACAGAAAGTGACAATTAAATAAAATGACACAAAATGAAAAATAAATTTGGAATATAAACACACTATTCTCAGATTTAATAAAACAGGGTAAACAGGAACCAGGATAGATGGGGTTCTAGGTGGTATGGAAGCCTCTCTGAGGAGGTAACATCTGGGTAATGACCTGAATGATTAAAAGGGATCTATGACAGACAGAATAACAGCCCCCAAAGATGCCCACACTGTAATCTCTGGAACCTATGAACATGTTACCTCACATAGCAAAAGGGCTTGGAAGATGTGATTAAGTTAAGGACCTTGAGATGGGGAGAGGATACTGGATTATCCAGGTGAACCCAGTGTAGTCATCACAGTCTTGTAAAGTTCAGAGTCAGAGAAGGAAATATGATGGGGATTCTCTAGGCAAGAATACTGGAGTGGGTTGCCATGCCCTCCTCCAGGGGCTTTTCCCATCTCAGGGATGGAACCCAGGTCTCCCACATTGCAGGCAGGTTCTTTACTATCTGAACCACCAGAGAAGCCCAAGAACACTGGAGTGGGTAGGCTGTCTCTTCTCCAGGGAAACTTCCTGACTGTGGAATTGAACTGGGGTCTCCGGCACTGCAGGCGGATTCTTTACCAGCTGAGCTATCAGGGAAGCCCTGTCATAATGGAAGTAGAGATTAAACTGAGGTGAGGAAAAGACCACATGCCAAGGAATGCTGGTGGCTTTAGAAACTATAAAAAGGGAAAAGCTAGAGCCAGTTCTCCCCTGGAGCCACCAGAAGGAGCGCAGCCCTGAGAACACCTTTATTTTAGCCTTTTAAGACCCAATTCAGGCTTCTGATCTCTAGAACTGCAAGAAAAATAATTCAATTCTTTTACAACATTAAGTTTTCAGTACAACATGTTAAAGCAGACATGGGAAACTAATGCAGCATCACTAGCAATGTCCCCAATAATAAGTTGATTGCATCAGTATTCAATGTCATTTTCCTCCATGGCTTGGTCAAAAACCAAGGCACTTGCAACAGTGACACTCACAAACAAGGCACTGACACTCATGAAGGCACAAGGATCAAACTCCAAACACAGGGGGGACTTCCTTGAAGGTACAGAGGCTAAGAATCCACACTCTCACTGCAAAGGGTGCAAGTTCAGTCCCTGGTCAGGGAACTAAGACCCCACATGCCAAGCTGTTTGGCCAAAACAAAAACAAAAAACAAACCGACAAACAAAACTCCAAATATAGGACTTCCCAGCCAAACCAAACTTGCAATGATGATGGCTGAAATACACACTAGCCTTTTTTTTTCCTGCAATCCGGAAAAACCCCCAACAACCGGAAAACTGCCAACCATATATGTCTGACTTAACCAGTAGGCCAAAGAGAAGAAATGTATTTACTTCTTCAGGTTAGCTTGGAGAAATACTAAATTAAGTAGAATTACACTGAATTCAGGCAATATTAACAATCCAGCTTATTACTCAACACTTTTGAAGTGAGCCGGGACAGCTCACAGAAAGTTAATCTTAAACCTTACCTTCTTAGCTCAAAGGAAAAGAAAATATTTAAGAAGAGAGAACTAATCTACTCAAGATTTTCCTCTCTATGTTGGTGGGGGAGTGCCTAACATATATTGCTCCCCTAATTCTAATATTTATTAACTTTAACTAGAAGATTCAAAGGTAGCAATGACTCTTAGAGACATTTGAAAATTATTATTTTGCAGAAATTGTACTTTTTCCAATTACTATGTAAGAATAACTTGTGATTTTAAAATTTTAAGTGCTTCATTACCATAGAATAATATTGAGAGAACCTCTGGAGCTCATATAAGGTACATCCTTATTTTACAAATAAAGAAACTGAGGCATGTGGGCAATGTCATTTCCAAATCGTACTGGTAGTAGGGCAGCATTTCACCTCCTGGCAGGTCTTTCCCACCACGCTTCATCTCTTTGCTTTCATTCTGCAGCTTGGAGGTGCTTGCAGATTTTCCTGGGTTCTAAAGAGCACTTTTAGAGCACATGAGAAGACAATCAAACCATGGCAAACAATCTTTGGAACTCTTGACTCCATCAGAAAAGTCAAAAACATTACTATATCTGACACAAACCACAACCTTAGAAATTAAGAATTATAGTTTACAACACACATAGAAACCAGTTTAAGGGAACAAAATTACAAAGGTAATGGTGAAATGCTTGTGTTTTAAGTAGTGAGGCTGATTTTGATCATAGCTCTGAAAAAAGACTGAGGGAGAAAA